AAGAATGATTTATCAGCAGCAGCAGACAGAGCCACAAACACACAGACATGGTAAAAGCTACAAGCAAGACTGGCTGACTGATAGAGGCCATGTTTCTTGTCCAAGCTCCTGATTATCTGTTGAAGAAGAGGTTACTTGGCTTCAGAATTTAAATGAGAATTACAATAAATACAGCAAAATAAGTAGGAGACATGGTGTTTAACATTGAACAGTCTATATTTATTAAATGAATGAATGGGTGAATAAATGAAATTAATGGTTTTATATTTGCAGAATATAAAACATTTATATATAACACTTCTGGTGTTGTATTCCCAGAATGAGCTTTGCAACTTAGTTGTTTTGAATTTGGGATGCATTTTGCCTTAGAACTAATGTTGCTAAATGGTACTTAAGTGCCAAGAAATTCCATTAAGGCTGCTTAGCCCATAATGTAGCAATAAAATGTAGAAAAGTAATGGCATTGTGTAAGAACACTGTTTAAACAATTTTGAATACTGGTGTTTGAGGAAAAGTCACTTTAATTGGGAGATAAAGTAGCACACCACATTGAACTGTTGTGATGATTTCCAAGGGGACTTCTGAGACTTTTCAAGGGTTCTGAAAATTGTCCTCTTTTTATGTCTATTTTCAAATTTAAATGCATGCATTTCTTTCCCTTGGTATAATATTATACTATTCTTATCATCAGTAGGATCATTATTGTCAGTTAATAACTGTTGTGTTTCCAATTGGATGGAAGAGTAGGACAAAGCAAGGTGGAAGATTGCAGGAAATTTGTTTTAAGTAATTGGAAAAGAGCTGCAAGAGATTAGCATGTCATAAACAGCAAACATGTATTTGCTATGAGTCTCAGAATAAAAGGAAGGTGACACGCTATGTTCTTGAGAGGTTTACTATTTTCAGAGAGAGTAAGATGTACACATACAAAGAAAAAATACTACCTGGTAAGACATGTTGGGTTACAATCGAGGAAATGGCTGTTCAGAGGAGTGATGTTTGGAGCCTAGGAGCAGGAAGAGCTTGAATCTGGCCTTGTGGAAGAGGATTTCAATCAGCAGAGAGTTGGGAGGGCGTGTGAGGTGAAATGACCTAAATGGTACTTAATAGAAAATACAGGAAAAAGCAGAAAAATTGTGCGCGCATTAATTTACCCAAGAAGAAAGAATATGGTGGAGAAAAGGATGTCTCAGGAAGGGCCAATACTGGCTTGGCTAGAGCCATCTGGAAATAATGGCCTTGGAGTGTTCAAGTGATCAGTCAGCATGCAATCACACTTCAGAGGTGTTTGCAATTTAAATTGTGCTTAAATATACCTAGGTGTTTCCGCCGGATACAGAATTTGTGTAATTTCATTATATCCTCAATGAGTTTTGGTGACATGTGTCCTAGTGGACAACTCTGAGTCCTACAGAAGAAACTTCTGAAATCCTTGCCTTTTGTATAAAAAGATGTCAAGTTCAGTTTGCCCCTATTCATTTACCTTCTTCCTCTAGCTTTCATTAACTATTTCACGCTGACCAAATCACTTCATTCTCTGGGCCCCATTTTCTTATTTCTAAATGATGACAGTGAACTAGATTATCTATCCTTTTCAGTTCTAAAAACTTGATTCTGAAATGTTCCAAAATGACAAAACACAGCAAACCATGAACACGAGACAAATTGCTCAAATCAGATAGCTGTGGTTTCCAAAACAGCAACTTGTGAACATCAGAGATGTTTTCTAGAATCAGTTAATCTCTATTCTCAGAGCTGTTATGCAGGGTTGAGATTTACCTAGAAACGTGATGTGGGCCACGTACGGTTTTCCCTTCGGTTAAAGTAGCGAGAGTCACATCAGCAAAACCTGTTCTTCCCTATCTCCTTAGAGTCAAAAGCTTTCTGGGTAGCCACAAATAGGTAAGCTGAGGCTTTCCGTCCTCGAGCTCCCCTTCTTGGGTTTTCCGTGCATTCACCTGCATTACGCACGTACTGCCCGCGGAGTTCACCCTCCAACTGCTTCCCAGCGGCCCGGAGCGTCGAGGCTCCCGGCCAGGCGTGGGCGCAGCAGAAGCGGGGCCGCCACACTTCCGGTGGCCCGGCCTGGCGTTCGCCACACTTCCTGTTGTTCGGGCTCCGCGAGGACTGGGCAGAGGGGAGGGCTGGCGGGCGGGCAGCCGCCGACGGGGCGTGGGCGCGCGGGCACCGAGCGTCCCTCCTGTCTCTTGAGCCTGGAGCACTCTCGGCGGCCGCGCCTCCCGCGCTCGGTCCTTTCCTCCGACCCTCGGCCCGGCCTCGCGGCGCCATGCCCGCCGTGGACAAGCTTCTGCTGGAGGAGGCGTTGCAGGATAGCCCCCAGGTACCCCGCGCCACTCCAGGCCCCCTTGACCGAGGAAGCCGCTCCTGTCGCCGAGTGGAGGCCGAGAGATCTCAGGGCCCCCTCGCGGGCGAGGCGGGGGCGGGCCGGCCTTGCGCCCTGAGCTCGCGGCGCCCCGGGAGTGGGCACCCGCCGGGCAGCGCTGGAGAACCCGGGAAGGCACCCCCGCCCGCGTCTGTGTGTCATGACCCCTCTCCAAACTGCTGGAACCGAGAGGCTGTCGGGCCGACACTCGGGCTCCGCCGCGTACCAGCCGAGTGCCGCGGCAAATAATTTACCCTTTCTGTGCCTCCGTTTTGTTATCTGTAAAATAGGATAATAATTGTGCCTGCCTCATGGAGTTGTTCGAATTAAATAAGGAAATGCCTGTAAAGTTGTTAGCGGGCAATGTCTGGTACAGGATAAGTTAATTATCATTAGTACTAGTAGTAGTACAATTGATGATAATAGGAGCTGGTGTGATTTAGGACGAGAATGGGGAGGCAGAGAGCCTAGATCTCTTTCCCAGCGGTACAAGGCCTCGTTTAGCACCGTTTTCCCATTTGTGGAGAGAATATTACAACAGCTGCCCCATTTGTCGCACAGGGAAACTTCATTAGCGCGCTAGAGATGGGAGGCAAGTCCTTCGAGTTCTGCAGATGAGAGCTGGTGTGTAAATATCGCAGAAGGACATTAGTTCATAATTCAGTGCCCTTTTCCCCAGGGAACTTGTGTTGTCTATTAACATTTCCCCAGCTTCATATCTGCTCTCCTGGTTCTGCATCCCTGGGTTGATTATTCCCTAGCGTCTCAACCCCTGAAAAATTACAGTGCGATTAACTTGTTTTCCTTTCACAGTTTTCCTTCTCTTTTCGGTTCTTTTCCTTTTTCTTTCTTAGTGAATTAGTACTCCTGGGATTGTCCTGTGACAAACTTACCTGCATGGAGCATGCATCTGTCCAGTTCAGAATAAGTTGAAAGGGTTGTGTGCTTAGTGGCTTTGTGCCTCCCTTATGTAGGCAAGGAAGAAACTGTAAGCAAGCTGTGATTTTTTTTTTTAAATTGGCATCCTCAGGTCCGATTGACTTTTCAAAGGCCTCTTTGAAGTCACTTATACTTCTGCCACTTTAATTGGGACCAAAGACCTTGGTAGAAATCATTTCGACCATCTTTCACACGTATTGCGTGGAATCTGAAGATAGTAATGTAGGATTTCTAACTATCGTTTTGAGGATTTCCATTTGCTTTGTAGTTGGAAAAACTAAGTGCAAAGACCTACTGCTTTCATAACTTAGCCAGGTTAGAGGTTGTGCTCATGCACCAGGTTGGCCTGATAAGTCATATTCTGAATTTCTGACTCTCCTGGAAATGAATATGCGCTATTTCTGAGCAGTTTACAATATTTGCTGAAATGTGAGGAACAAGAAAGAGGACTGGCAGACAATTCAGGAGACCGGGCTCCAACACTAACTTAGGTGATTAGGGCAAGTCGCTTATCCACACTCTTGTGACTCCATTTTCTCATCTGCAGAATGAGGGAATGGAGCAGATGATCTTTAAAGGACTTTAGAAGCTTAAAATTCTATCATAGCCTCATGGTTTATAACTTTGAGCTTGTATGTGGGAGAGGAGGTTTAGAGGCATTGTCATTCCTAGTTAATATTCCTCTTTATTTAGGGAATTTGTTATTGCCTTTGAGACTTGACCCTATGAGGGTTCTTGGTGTAGTTGTTGAAGGGAAGCTAACTTTCAGAAAAGTGTGGTAACCATCAGAGCATATGCATTTCGCACTCCTGTGTGGGGCATGTGCCTAACGTGACTTTACTCCCAAGGAGACTCATAGGCTTGGAACTGGGAAGAATCTAATCCAGCTCTTTCATTTTATGTGTAAAGAGAATAAAAACAATAGTAAACACCTGTATCACACATGCATTTTATGTGCCAGGCAGTGTTCTAAATACTTTACCTATATATTAAATCACTTAATTCTCCCAACAGTCTTTTGAAGTAGGCCCTTTCTAAATTACCAAGGAGCAGAGAAATTAAATAACTTCACCAAGATTATATACAATAAAGTGGTAGAGCCAATATTGGAACCCAGGCAGTCTGGGTTCAAATTAGTCCAGCTCCTTTGCACCTGGCTTTTCTGTCATCAGTAACCTTAAGTGTTTCACTAAAAGGAAAAGAGCCTAAGAAACCTTTATGGTTTGTTCCCTCTAGTTTTATGTAGAGTAGTCATGCGGGTTGCTCCAGTAACCTGGTTGCACAGGATTCCTTAAGTGAACACAAAAGCTTTTGTATTTGAATTCAGTGACCCAAGAAGAACTGAATAGTAGTTGACTGACCTTAGACCCACCTATTCACATCCTGCTTTTGAGTACTGCGCGGTGTATTGTAAGCCTGGCCTATGTGCGTACACATTATTTCTGACATATGTCAGAGTGTGGATCACAGAGTCACAGAGTATGGATAAGGGACTTGCCCAAATCACCTAAGTTAGGGTAAACTGTTTTAGGAATTAAGATACTTGTCTCCATTGCTGTTTGTGAGCCTCTGCTCCTCGCCAGGTGTTGCTATATGCTGGGAGTGTAGTGACTAATAAGCTAAGAGTCCCTGCCCTCCCCTGGCTCACAGTCTGTTCCAGGAGACAGATAAGGAAAGCAGCAGTTCCAGCACTGTGTGAATACTGCATGGTAGGAACACAAGTGCAGCTCACACTTCAGGCTTATTCTCTTTTGTGTAAGCAGTAAGTATCTTTTGAGATAAGACAAAAGCACTTGTTTTGCTTTGATTTTTGGTCTCTGTTTTGTTTGTTTCCTTTGCAGTTGGCATAACTGAAGCACAGAGAAATGAAATACTTAGTTCTGAGATTATGCAGTGAGTGGTCCAGCTGGGAACAGCCCTGTCCGACCAAACAGGCCTTTCTTTACTTAAGCAGGGTGCTGCAAAACATAGCTATTGCTTAGGGATTTTGTCCTGCTGTTCCCTTTGTTTATAATACATTTTTCCTTTCAGTAGGCTCAGTTCTACTGAGATTATTCTCTCCCGCCACCAATTTACTGGTATAAGAACTTGTTTTTACCTTAAAAATATACATATAATTACATATAACATATATAATAAACATATATATATGTAGTTTGCCACTGAACAACACAGGTTTGAACTGCACAGGTTTAGTTGTATGTGGGTTTTTTTACGATAAATATATTGGAAAATCTGGGGGAGATTTGCGACAATTTGAAGAAAACATTTTCTCTGGCTTACTTTACTATAAGAATACAGTATATAAAACAGTATACAAAATATGTGTTATCCGTAAGGCTCTCAGTCAACAGTGAGCTATTTTATAGCAGTTATAAAATACAAGTCATGGGGATGAAAAGTACAGCATACAGAATATAGTCAATAATACTGTAATAACTTTGTATGGTGACAGATGGTAACTACACTTCTTATGAAGAGCATTTTGTAATGTAGATAAATGTTGAATCACCATGTTGTACACCTGAAACTAGTATGTGTCAAGAATACTTCAGTAAAAAAATTTTTTTTGAAAACAGGATATTGTGTTAAGTGGGGAATCAAAAGTTATACATGGATTTTCAACTGCGTGTGAGTTCAGCACCCCAACCACTGTGTTGTTCAGAGTCAGTTGTGTATTTTACAATCAGAGCTATTAAAATTGTGCCATTATAAAATTAGATGCTATTCTTAGAATAAAAAATGTCTAAGAGTATTTAATTAGGTAACAGTTCCTTTAAGATGGAGAGATGATGTGGAACTGAGGCTATATCCATGGTTCTGGTGTTGCCTTTGTGGTCAGCCATGCTCTTGAGAGTGTAGGGCAGTAGAAAAAGGGTGGAATTGAAATCCTGGTTGTGCCACTATTACTGTAGGCAAGTTACTCAACCTCACTGTGCTTGTGTTTCAACATGGGTAAAATTAGAATAAAAATAGTTGCTTCGTGAATTCTCATGAAGAATAAATAACATGTTAAGTATCTTCATACCTGCATGTTGTAGTAACTCTGTATATAATTGCTGTTAATTGTCTTTATAAGTGATAGGCACCAATGTCTTTTTGAGTTTTTTGTAAAATTTTTGCGCAGCTGGTACACCTTTGCCTAGTCTTTGATCTCATTCCTCTTTATGTCTCGGAACATTCCTATCATTCCAAATATAAGTTTAAGCAGAGATTGTGCTGAAAATGTGGATATTAAAGCAATGTTTGAGTTATCTAGGTGGGTGTATTTTTTTCAGGTGTGACCACGGCTTAGTTAGAAAGGGAAGTGTGGAGTTATCCAGCAGTTCTGATGGAGGTCATGGTAAACCTGTCCAGAGCACAAAGAAAAAAAATTTATGATATCCTTTGACAATTATGATAGGTGAGAGAATGACCCAAGAGAAGCTAGCTGAAGGCAACCTTTACCCTGCCTCCAGGCAGGACTGTGGACTGTGGCCAAGAGCATGCCCACTCATAAAGCTCACCCTGCTGGGTGATGGGTGCAGCCTCTGCAGTGGAGGAAGCATGGCCACTGGTGCCAGGTAGACCTGGGTACATCCCATCCCTGCTGCTGCCCAGCTGTCAGAGGTTGAGCAAGTTTCTTAACCTTGATGAGACTCAGTTTCATCATCTCTAAATGGGGTTAATGTAACCATGCTATCTACCTTATAAAGTTGTTGTAGAATTAAATGCAGTAACAAATACTTAGTGCTCAGGGTTCAGCACAGTGACACATAGGATTTTGTTTTCTTTCTATTCTCTTTGTGGAGGATATAATAGAAGTCCTCTCTTTTCATTTTACCTCTCATTTTCCATTCTATTTTATTCCTAAGAGTATTAAAAACCATAAATAGGACTTGACTAAGTGGATATCACTAGTATTTAAAAAAATTAAGTATCTTCAATCTAGTGGTATCACTCTTTCCTTACCATTCTCTTAGACATATTAGTTACAGCATAGAAAAGTACCAGAATCATAATAAACATTGGTGGGCTCCAGCAGCACTGGCACCTGCATACACAAATATTTATTACTGTTAGATGACATTTACAGATAAACGTGTAGATGACAGCGTTACCGTTAGTGTTAAAATGAAATCATACATGTAAAGCCCTTAGTGTCCAACATATAATACGCAAAGTTCATTATCTTCTATAATCCATATAATCTGCCATCACTATATATTAGGCACTGGTAGGCACTTTATGCACATTCATTATCTCATTAACTCTGTAAATTAGTGTTAGAGCCTAAATTTGGAACTAGGACTGACATAGTCCCAGGTGATCCCAGATCCTTTGATAGGACACCAGCAGACTCGAAGCTCCTGGAGAGTATAGAGTCAGTTCTCATCACCTTTGAATCTGAGTTCCCAGCACAGTATTTCATCAGATATTCGATGAAGGCAGAGATGCATGCATGAATTGAAGAGTACAGAATGTAGGTTCTGAGATTGTCTTTTAACAGCCTTTTTTTTTTTTCAAATAAGTATATTTTAAAGATGGAATGAAGACCTCTAAACCAATGTTGTTCACCTAGTAGTTGGTATCCATAGTGGATTGTGAGATCCAGTGGTCACAGCCATGATTTTTGTTTACAAATGGAATAGAGCAGATTAGAATAGAATGGAAAATATCCGTGTGTATGCACACTAATGATATTGTTTGCTAAAATGTATTTCATACTGTGGATTTTAATTTTAAAAAGTTAACTCCATTCTAACACAAATTACACACTGTATGTACTCTCTGATCTTTTGCTCTCAGTGAGAGCTTTTTAAAAGCCTATTTTACATCATCCTTATTCATTACATTCTTGTCCTTCTGTTGATAAAGATTGGTACTGAAGAGAATGCAGTGGTCTCAGAGAAGTATTTTTAGCCTTAAAGACATCTGGCAAAGCCCGGACAAGCGTGTACTGCTGTGTGAAGCGCACCAGTTTATGGAACAAAATCGAGGGTAGAGCGAATAATCCAAATGCCTAAGTTCCTATGGCCATTTATTCGGAGTGCTTTGAGATCAGTTATTGCTGTCTTACCTGAGATACTTTAGAAAAGGAAAGAAGGAATCAAAATTCATTTGCAGAAAAATAATGAGCCTTAATTGAGTTCTTTGTCAAGTGCTTTGATATCATCTTATTATGGACATTTCTGTAACTTAGTCTCTATTCAGTGACTGATGGGTTATTTTCTAAAATAGAGATCTCATTATCACTAACATTGTATATTAAATTCCCACTCTTCTGGATGCATTAACAAAAGTCCCTTGAGTAGATATGGTCTCTTACATGACACCTTGATACTTTTTCAGACACCATCAAATATATAAATATTTCTTTAGTGCTCAGTGTGCATCAGGCACTGTGCCCAAAAATGATAGGAAATACCTTTCATTTACTGATGTTGTTCAGCTGCTTTGGAGCACTGAGTAGTTCCCAAAGGGACTGAGCTAGCATTCTTATTAGGTTGCTGTTTGAGTTTTGTGTCCTGATATATCGCTGGAGGACCTGGATGGAGTACATGAAATTTCTTGGCCATGAGTTTGAATAAAATACCATAAAAGACATGGAAATTGACTGTTGTGTTTTAAAAGGAAAGAATGACACACTCCTGCAAGACCAGGTCTGCAGAAAACCAGACAGATGGTGTCCATGCTCCAGGGAAACAGGCCTAACGTTGTATTCAGTGTATGGGCTTGAAGGGAGAGCTACCCTGTCTACATTTTTTTTTAATTGGTCATATTTTACTGGTGCTTAGCTAGGGGGTGAAGTTGAGACAGACAATAGACCTTGAGTCTTAATATTATAAATATTGGCTTTCCTACTCTGGTCCCAACACCCAAATTGTGTTCAATTTGTTCCCACACTGTAGTCTAAAGGATTAGAAGAGGAATTCTAAATTAATGCTCCAGAAATCAACTCAAACTAGAATCAATAAAAGAATAAAGCCAGACCATAGGCACCTTCCCTCCCCATTTCAGAGAATGTGTATGTGTGTCTGTCTGTGTCTTCTACCACCTTTGTAACTTTTCCACTTAGAAGTGAAATTGACCTCTTTTCTTCTTCTTTTCTTACAGACTCGCTCTTTACTGAGCGTATTTGAAGAAGATGCTGGTACCCTCACGGATTATACCAACCAGCTGCTCCAGGCAATGCAGCGTGTCTATGGAGCCCAGGTATCCTGCTGTTCCCTAGGCTGGAGAGGAACAGAGTAGGGGCCTTCTGCCCTTACCTTGAACTTCTCTCAGGAGGCTGAGAAGTTTGAGTCACAACACCACCATTTAAAATTTGGAAATAAAATCAGAATTTTTTTCTCACTTCTGTTTACTTTCAAAATTATGAGCAATCTATTTTCATTGCTGAAAAAAGAGGGTAGTTTTCCAGTATCTAGTAGAACCCGTGGAAGGGAACCACATCACTGGTTTTAATTTTTTTTTTTAATTCAACCCCAGAGGGAAGCATTTGAGTCTCCCCTTCCTCCTTGTGAATGAGCGGGTTCAGTGTTCTGAGACACGCTCTTTGTCTTTCTCATTAATGAGCCGTCTTAGATGTCAGTGCAGTGGGTCAAGATGTTTTTTTAAATGCTTCCTCTGAAAAGACTTGGGTCACAGTTCTGAAACTATTGGGTAGCTTCTTTGTTTTGAGGAACAAATATCTCTGGCTTGCAAAATTGTGGAAAATAATTTGCTGAGTAGCAGAAGTGAATCTCTTTAAGATAAAGAAGTGCCCGTGCATATTTCTAAGAAAAGACTTGTGAATTACTTAAAAATAAAATTGATTATCTTATACATACAAATATTGTGGCAGTTGATGCTTTTAATTACCGATTTGTTGCTGACTTAAATTTGTATGTTACTGTTTCTTTTTCTCATTGAAAGAAATACCACATTCTTTAAAGAAATAGTGCATTCAATATATAATAAATGCTAATAATCATGTATCATCATTTATTATATAGCTCTTTATATTCATATATAAACATTTCTTATCATTGTTCTATTAGTCATTTATTCATATCATTGGGAAAAAGACTCAGTCCTTGACATCGGGGAGCTTACATTTGGGTTGGGAGACAGACAAAATAGTTACTTAAGAACGTTCAGTGCTAGGAGAGGAGGTCAACTAACCCAGAGGAGTTGTTCTGGGCACCCAAAAGAAGGATTATGATAGTTGAGATTTATTGAATACTTAATCACTTCTAGGCAAGGTTTCAGGGGCTTTTACATGGACTGTTTCACTTCATTTCCCTGACAGCTCTGTGAGGTGCAGATATTGAAATTATCATCCTCATTTTATAGGTCAGAATAAAGGATTCTGCTGATGAATAACTTGTCTAGTCCACCCCACTAATACATGGCAGAGCAAGTCAGGCCAAAACCAAAGCCCAAACTCTTAATTACTAAGTATGGGGATGGTAGCCCAAACTAGGGAAGTGGCAGTATAAATGGAAAAGAGGTACTTGAATTTCAGAAGTATTTAGGAGGCAGGTTGCTGATTGGCTGGATGTATAGGGGTCACGTGGGTGAAGCATGAACCAAAAATGAGGCCCAGGTCTTTGAGTGAACAGCAGTGTGGGACACAGGAAGAAGAGCTGTGTGTGTGTGTGTGTGTGTGTGCATGCGCACATGTGTGTGGAATTGTGGGGATGCCAGTTCTAATTTTCTCTAGAAAGGCTGACTTTGAAGTGTCATGGCACAGCAAAGTGGGGAAAGAGCTCCTGTTGAAAGTTCAGATCCAGAGTTCAAGCTAAAGATACAGATTTGGAAACTATACTGTGTTAAACAAGTGTAGCTTATTAACTGGAACTAATTTTTTTACAGCCAAACTAATGAACTCACTTGTGGTTTCCATGTTAGTTTTGGTAAGATACTCAGATACTCAGAAGCTGGGACATTGTCACTTTTTTATTAAACCCTATTTGTTTATATTACATGTTTTGTATTTTTCCCTAAATATTCCAAATTTAAGAAAATAGAGGTATTTTTACTAGGTGTGCACCGGAACTTGTTTGCTCTTCATTAACTTGAATATTGTCGTTAAATAATTTGTTTCCTGTTTAAGGTTTAAGAGCCCCAAGACTTAAGGCCTTGGGTCTCTGCCACTCTCAGGTGTCTCTGTTCTGCCTTTCCATGTTTGTCAGAGTCATTTGCTAGGAGATGTCCACTCTTAACGCATTTTTTCTTTTAAGCCAGAAAACTACATTTTGCCAGAATTAAGTGGGTCAGGCATTCCAAAAGGCTGTAACTGCTTTTAATTCACACCACATGGTCATCACATGGGTTCTACTGGCCAGAAACCCTTCCTCAGGCCTCAGGGTTTCCTGCAGCAGAGGCTGCAAGAGTGGCTGGTCAGTGCTGCCAGAGTCGGTGACTGTGTCAAGCAGTGGTCAGTGGCATTCAGATCGGCTGGCTCAGATCATTTGGTTTTTCAGGTTTTGAAGACTTAGATATTTGGTTTTGTTTGTTTTTAATTAAAAGAAAGAAAACTTCTGACTCCTTTTTAGTTTGTTTATATATGTATGTATATATGTGTATATAGATACACGGTTACATGTATGCATTTTTGTGTATGTATAAAATATACACACAGTTATGTATATGTATATATCGACATACAACTATATAGTAATAGCAGTGTTTTCATTTGACTGCTTTCCCCTCAGTTATGTTTTCTTCGTTTATTTAATGTTGTTCCTTAAATATTTTACACCTATACATTTTAAATGAGATTAAAGAGTTTAATAATTTCATTTGTAGAAACAGATACTTAGCAAGATGTTGTTTGTCATTTTTGTTTTAAAAACCAGGTTTATGCTTCTGATAAATGATAAATGTTCCTAAAAGATTTAAAATCAGACCACATGGTAAATTTCTGTAGTAATGTATAGTGAATGCCCTTTGGACCTTAGTTTTAGAAAGAGGAAGAATGAGAAAAACTAGAGGAAAGTTCATGAGCAGTTTTGCTGATTGTGGCTGGTTTGGGGGAAATTTTAAATCTTGTTTGGCTGGAGCATAAGAATGAAGCTGTAGTCTGTAAGTTGTTTTCAGTGTTTTACAGTGGTCCCTGGCATCACATCAGGTCTTTTCAGGGTCTTAGGTGCCTTGGCACATGGTGCAAACTGAATACTCCATTGTGGGTCATTAGAATGACAGACGCAGTACACATTTCCCATGCATTAACAAAGCAGGGACTGGTCACTTAGAAAGATCTGTCATATTTCAGACTATTGACTAAATAAGTTAGAAACATTTGTGTTTCTGATGCATATGTATGCATATTCAGTTAAATCTCAATTTGCATTTAATACATTTGATATACTTATTTTGATTCTGTATACTTGCCATAAATTTCTTTCCTAGAAAGGGTATAAATTTTTTAATCTTTTAAAAATGGGTTTCTTAGAGAGTCTTACAATGAAATATATTACATAATCTTACTTAGTCTCCCAGATGTACTGAGAAATAGCAGTGAAATGATGTTCCCAGCAGTGTTAGTGAAACCTGGCAACTCTTGGAACCTGTTTTGTTCCTCATCCAACAGATGACAAACCGCTGCAGTTGGTGTCTTTAGTCTAGATGGAATTTTTTGTTTGTCATGCTTATTCTGTTTTTTTAAAAGTAAAATTTGGGTGGAATTGTTTGAAGTGAGAGTCGTGGTAAAGGTTCCTTAATTTTCCATCAGCCAAGCAGGCTTACTCAGACATAGTCCCATCTCTACAACGTTCTTAACCAAGCCTTTTGGAATATCAAGTAGCTACTGAGCCTGAAAACTAAAAGCCCAAATTAAAGGTAGGAATAGTATCTTTTCAATTGAGGTAAAGCCCAAATTAAAGGTAGAAATAGTATCTTTTCAATTGAGGTAAAGCAGTGGAAGGGGATAGGAGAAAAATACTTCGAAGAGAAATTTGGCATTATAAAGAAGAAAATATTTTTTTTTAGAAATGATGACATACATAGATACCAAGCTAAGCAAGTTAATGTACTTATTGGGAAACAAAATGAAAGTCATGGGCAACCAGGAGTGTGAGCTTTTGATAGGGGAAGGAGAAGGATGTGGAAGGCAGGCGGGTCAGAAATGTATATTTTCATAATAAAAATAGTAGCATTCATTTATTATACACAGAAACAAACCACACCCTAGGCCTAGCATCTCCTGTGTATAATCTCATTCAGCTTTCACAACAAAGGAGAGGTATTATTATAGTATGTATTTACAGATGAGGAAACTAAGACTCAGAGGTTATGTAGCTGGCCTGTAGTCACATAGCTGATGAGTGGCAGAGGCAGAGTTTGAACTTTGACTCCAAAACCTGCAGTCTCACCGTGCCACTGTGCAGTACAGGCACACCTCAGAGGGGCTGCGGGGTCAGCCCCAGACCCTCGCAATAAAGTAAATATCGTGATGAAGTCAAATGAATTTTTTGGTTTCCCAGTACATATACAAGTTATGATTATAGCACACTGTAGCCTTTTAAGTGTGCGATAGCATTATGTCTAAAAAAACAATGTACATGCCTTGATTAAAGATACTTTATTGCTAAAAAAAACCATCATCTGAGCTTCAGCAAATCATCTTTTTGCTGATGGTGGCTGTTGATGGCTGTTGATCAGTGTGGTGGTTGCTGAAGGTTGGGGTGGCCGTGGCAGTTTCTTAAAATGAGAGCACAGTGCAGTTTGCTGTGATTTGCTCTTCCTTTCACAAACAATTTCTCTGTAGCTGTAATGCTGTTTGATATCATTTTTACCCGCAGCAGAACTTCTTTCAAAATTGATGGCAATTCTGTCAAACCTTGCCCCTGCTTTGTTAACTAAGTTGTGTAATTTTAGCAGCAGAGGCTAAGAAAGTAGGAGCTTTTAAAGGTTGTTCTTGTCACTGTAGACCAACCCCCATTTATCAGTCTAAGAGCCTGTAGTACCCCCTTATTTGCGGTTTTGCTTTCTATGGCTTCAGTTACTCAAGGTCAGCCATGGTCTGGAAGCAGATGATCCTCCTTCTGATGGACAGTCAGGTCAATAGTAGCCTCATGCTGTGTCACCATGCCTCTCTCATTCACCTCAGTTTATCTCATCAGTAGGCATTTTAATCTCAAGCATCACAAGAAGGGTGAGTACAGCACAATAAGATATTTAAAGAGAGAGACCACATTCCACATAACTCTTACTACAATAAGTTATAA